ATAAAATATATATATATATATATATATATATATATATAGTGGCGGATCCAGAAAAAATTTTCACTGGGGGCATAATTATATATATATATATATAACTAAAATTTATACAAAATTCTCAAATAAATATTTGAACTATAAAATTTTCAAATAAATATTTAAACTTTTCAAAATTTCCACATACATATCCTAATTTTTAAAAAATTACCAAATAAAACAAAATTCATTAACACCAAGTTATCAATTATCGACAGATTTTGTTATAAATTTAACGTCGTTAATGAATTATAATTTCATTTGATAAATTTTTAAAGTTTGGGTATTTAATATTAAAGTTTTAAAAAATTTAGATATTTATTTGAGAATTTTATAAAAGTTCAGGTATTAATATGTGATTTTTTCTAAAAAATAATCATTACAAAAATATTTGTATCTTCCAATTGATTTTTATGATTTTTTAAAATTTTTAATTTAGTTATAACAATTTTATTTATAACCAATTAAAATATATTTTTTCAACTAAACAAGTATATAATCATTCTATATTATCCAAATCAATTTATTCGAATATTAAAAAATTGATATGATATTAACTAAATATATAAGAATAAATTTATGAATATAATAAATATATAAAAAATATAAAAAATTACTTAAATAAAAGTCATAATTTTTACATATATTTAGTGTTGTTACTTTTAGTTTTTTTGTATTTGATTATGATTGAATTGATGATGATGATTTTAATCAAATTTGAAGAGTAAAAATTATTTAAAAAAGGAAAAAAAAGATGAAGAAACATAAATTTTCTTAATATTTGATTTGATTTTTTTATATAAAAAATAAAAATAAAAAAGATAGAGGGGGCCTTACAAAAATTAGGATGGGGGCACTTTGTTTGATATTATATTATAACTTATAAATAATTGTTTTTTTTAAATATGAGTGGGGGCCGGTGACCCCACTTGGTCTAACGTGAATCCGCCCCTGGCCTTTCGTCGATTTCGCGTGAAGCCTAAACTGAGGAGGAAGAAGACGCAGTAATTTTCGGATTAAGGAATTTCTGGGTCTTTAATCGCTTCGAGATTTGCGATTAGATTAAATAAATTGAGATTATATTTAATTAAATGGAGAATGAGAGTTTAAGAACGTGAAATATGCCGTAAGAATCAAAACTCTCTCGAGTGCCGTACTCTTGTGAGCAGCTTTTTTTTTAAAAAAAAAAATTTCAGTTCTTCCCCTTTGACTATTAATAACATTAATTGTAACATTTGGATTGTTTTTCTTAAAGATAATTATTAGATATTACTATTAGGACGAATCAATCTACAGTCAGGATTCTAAACGAATCGCAATTTGCAAAAAATATTATTCCACTCTGATTTATCTTTATAAATTTAGGGGAAATATTTGTTGTAGAAGGATTAATCAAATGTTATCGTAAGTTTACATTTGATTTTATTTTTATTTTTTAGTTATTTATATTAAATAATTATATTTATTTGTTTATATATGCTATAATCATGAGTTTTAAGAACAATAGTCTCCAATAATAATTTGTTAAAATATCTATCTTACCAAATCTGCCATAACATAATTCAAAATTTCCCAAAAAAACCGGCAGATGTAGGCTTCAAATTGAGATTAACCAAAGTGAGGTTGTTTTTTTTCCTAATCAACCTAAAGAGACTTTAGAATTTTCAAAAACTTTTCCACTCATTTTAAAATTAAAGTTATTTAATTTTCACAAAAGTTTTTACTCGTTTTATATTTTTTCCTTTTTGCATAAGGTATGTATGAACTTTTTTATAATAAGTAAACTTATCTTTACAAAGAATTACATTTTGCTACCGATGAAATCTTTTAAAAAAGAAATATTGCAAGTCTAGACCCGCCTAGCGAAAATAAAGATATTTTTATTTATTTTGAGGGTAAATATAAAGGTCAGATAATAATGGAGAATATTTAAAAATAGATTCGATAACAAATGACGAATATTTAAAAATAGATTCGATATGTACATATCTACCATGCAATGGACTTAAATTTCTAAAATGACTACGAAACAACAAAATGACAGCAATTTAGTGATAAGATAGTTTCATTTATTTATTTATTTTCCCTGCTTTGCAGCAAACAAGCCAAACCCCGTGTAGTTTTACACACGCGAAAGGCAACTTCATGGCGTTTTTTCTTCTAAAATCCAGACTTATTTGCAGTGTATTTTGGGCTCACAACAAGGCCTGGAAAAGCATATATAGTAAAATACAGAATGGGCCTAATGAGTAAGAATAGGCCCATTTTCAAAAGAGAGAAAAAGCCACGTGACGGCTCTTAAGGCACTGGGTAACTGCATGAAGTCCACGTGTACAGTTCCCCGTCGTCGTTGACAAGTGGCCAACCTTATGTATAATGTGTGTATGTGTAATGATGAGAGAGATTTGGAGGAGGAGAAGAAATGGCGTCGAACGTGAAACCAGCTTTTGGATACACAATTGTGTACGTGGAAGATGTTGAGAAATCGGTGGATTTCTACGCAAGAGCTTTCGGGCACAACGTCCGTCGTCTCGATGAATCCCACAGGTAATTCTCGATCTGTATGTTCCAATTATATATGTATGTATATATATATATACACCCTTATGATTGTAGACGTGCACGTATATATAGGATTTGAAGATAATACTGTGTGTGATTTGTGAATTAAATGATTGGAGGTGGGGGGAGCTGGAGAGCGGGGAGACGACGATAGCGTTCACGAAGAAGCACCAGCATGAGACGGATGACTTGACCGGGACGGTCCACTCGGCTCGTGACAGACCTCCCATCGAGCTCTGTTTCTGCTACCCCGACGTTGACGCCGCTTTCACGGTACATATCCCCTCTCTCTCTCTCTCTCTCTCTCTCTCTCTCTCTCTCTCTCCATTACCATATAATTGGTTTTGAACTGGTTGGTTTAGGGTTGTTAATTTCTTATGTTCTGTTCTATTTTTAGTTTTTTCAAAAAATTATACTTAAAATTCAATTTGATTCCGCCTTTGTCCCGACAGGTTTTTATTGATAAATATTTTATAAAAGTAGATCAAATTCTTGGACAAGCCATCCATATATAGGGGTTTTTTTCTCATTCGGTTTGGATACTGTTTCGTTTTTGGATGAATAAAAAAAAAAGGTCACTGGTCTGTCGCCTTAGATTTATTTTTTATATATAACATTATATCAATTGCGTATATATATGTGTGCGTATATGTATTCAAATCAAATAGAAAATAATAATAACACGAGATGATTGTGGTGGTGGAAAATGTAGAGGGCGGTGTCGAACGGAGCGGTGGGGGTGAGTCCGCCGGAGGAGAAAGAGTGGGGGCAGAAGGTCGGTTACGTCCGTGACCTCGACGGCTTCGTCGTACGGCTCGGCAGCTACGTCCACACCCCCTCCTAATGTATCTTCTCCATTAGCCTCTCCGTACGCTTTATAATATATATATATACACGAACACGACCTAATAATGTTCGTATCCTGCGGTCTGCACTGTATATTGGTCGATACGGTTGGAAATGTAATGACGGATATGGACGGACCCTTTCCATGTGTTTACAAGTAGTTCCATTTGGAAATTTCCATCGAATCCGACCCAGCCACGTCAGATTTTTACAGTCAATGCGAAAATGTGTAAAAATGTAAATCTTTGCATCATTGGCAATTATCCTCCTGAGGAATGCAGTCGACAAATGACCAAAGCTGCTATCTCACGTGAAAGCTTCTGACTCAAAACTTTGGAACTATTACTATCGGTATCTGGGTCTCAATTTGATTTTTTATTTGCTTACCCTGTTACTCTGTTTTTTATTCCATTTTTATTTTGTTAAAATTATTATCATTTTTTTTAATCCAAAAGATTATTATATTCAATGAAAACTCGTATGTGGAACCCTAGTCGAAATATTCGAAGTGGCCCACCTGCATTCAGAGAATGGCTTGTGTGTCGTTCGTTCATATTATTTACTTTTCGCATCAGTAGACGTGTCACTAATTTTCGAAAGAAGGTAACAAAACGTGGGAATATGTGAGGGCATCCTATGCTTACAGCTTTTGTTTTCTTAATGGGTAACACCGTAAAAATTTAAAATTACTTTTTTCTTGGATATAACAATGCATCCTTTTTTTTTAAATCTTTGCTATATGGACCCTGTAGCACGTGACTCCAATTTCGTATCATACTTAAACACTAAACAAAAAAGATAAGCGAATAAAGCATACTAATAATAATAATAATAATCATAATACCAACTTTTTTTTTTAAAAAAAAGCCAACTTTCAAAGACTTGAATCTGAATACTCAGATTACATATTTTTCGTTTTTCATGTTATTTTTGAACCCTAAAAACAGAAGATGAAAACCACACCGAATACAAAACTAGGCAAATGAAACCGTAGAGCACAAGCCGCGTAATAGTTTTTACCATAACGCCAACAAAAGGGCAGAATAGTCATTTTATTCTAGTGACAGAAAATGACCTTGAGCTCGTTCGGAGACTCGCAGTCGTGCATCAGAGACGGGCTGTCATGAGCGAAAGTGAAGGTCGCCGGACAAGCCTCCTTGAAGAACCTCGAATACTCCGACGGCCGACAAGTCTGCGGGCTGTTGTAATGGTTCCGACAGCACAGCTCGTCCGTACGGAACGCCTCGCACCCGCTCTTGCACGCCACCACGTGTCCCCTGAGTCCCGACCGAACCTGCAGCGGCGGAGGACAAGTCCTCAACAGGTCGTGCCGACAACCCACGACGGGGCAAACGCCACGACCCATGTGGGGAGTCACCGTCATGGGGACGTTGAAGCCGTCCACGAGGGAGACGCCGTAGGAGCAGAAGTCGCGTTGGGGTCCTCCGTGGTGGAGGTCGAACTGGGCGAGAGTCGCCGGCGCTGCGGCCCCG